AAAAAATTAATTTAGCTATCAAAAAGATACTTGAATATGAACAAATGATAAAAATTGCTACAGATAATTCAATAAAAGTTACATTATTATAAAAAATAATTGAAGAACAAAAAATTTTGTCAGAACAAAAGGCTCAGTTAAATAAATTAAAATATTATGCTGATGTATAAGTAAAGTTAGCAACAAAAAACTCAAGTTGTTAGAAAAAGGAATTATAGAAAAATATGATACTTCAGGAAGATCATCTGCAATTATGAAAGATCCAGATTTATGAAAGATCCAGATTTATGAAATAAAATTTATGATAGTATTAAATTCAGAGTTGCTTATAATAAATATAAAAAAATAATTATTAAAATAAGAATAGTAAAACACCTACGTGAAGCTTTAGAAAAAAAATATAATACCTATTTATTTTATTATTGTTTATCAACTTATTTACAACCTATCATCAAAATACTTTTACTACATATCATCATTATTATCTAGCAAAAGTTAGTCTCTCATCTGTAATACAAACAGAGATGAAATTTTACATTGATGAATATTATCATTTAGCTTCTGTTAAATTTGCAAAATTTTTAATTGAAGTTTTTGCAAATGAAATAGTTATTATTTTTTAAGATGATAAAGTAAAAATAGAATTAGAAATACTTACAGTTAGCTATACATTTAAAATAGTTTAAACTGTTAATAAGTCAGTAACTATTAAAGATCATGATTTTCTAGTTAGTTCAAAAATGAAACTTATACCTTCTATTTATCTAATTATTAATCTAACTTATTCAAGTAATATTCTTCAAATTAGTAAACTTTCTATATTCGTTAGATTTAAATATTTTATTAAAATATTATTAGAAACTCATATGGCAGATTTAGAAATATTATTTCTAATAATGAATATTCTACTATAATAAAAAAAGATAATAAAGTTAGACCTATTTGGATCTTTTTTGTTGATGGTGAACCTGATAAAAATTTAAAACATATGAAAAATATTATTCAATTTGCTTACCTTTTTCATACTTTTAACTTAGATTAACTGTTTATATTCATGCTTTAGGTTAAAGTACATATAATCTAGTAAAACAGAATATGACTTCTTTATCTATAAAATTTGCAGATATTATTTTACCTGTAAATAAGTTTAAATAATCAAAAAATGTAGTAGATGAGAATTAATGTAAAAAAACTTAGAATTTTTAGGAAAAAATTATGTGACATATAGAAGAGAGATAACATATATAGAAAGTCTATTATAGTAGAATATATTAATAAAAAAATAATTCCGTTCAATAAGTTTGATTTTTCAGTATTATGAGAATAGATAGAAAATCATATACAGATCTGTCACTATTCATTAGATATTAAAAAATGTGAAAATTGTGAATATTATAATTAATATAGAATTCTGGATGCAGTAACTCTTTTGAGAGAAAATAATAGATTTCTTTCTTCAATTACAAAAGAAAAAGATAAGCATTTCATTAATCTAATTCACATCTTTCAATATTATAATATGCTTAAAATCTTACTACAGTTAACTCTTAATATAGCGAACTTTTGATATAACAAATTTTTTGAACAAATATAATAAAAATACTCTTGTTATAGTGAATTGGCCAATCAAATCTCTTAAAATCTTTACTATAGCCTTATAGTGAAATTGAAGTCTAGGATATAGAGTTCGTTATAATAAGAGTTGACTGTATATAATTCTGTTCTTCAATTTCATAAGAATTATATTAGTGACTGTGTTACAGTATATGCAATAAAATACTTTCTAACTCTAAAATTTATAAAGGAACATAAACACAATATGCATTCTAAATATTATTCTCAAAATAACAAATAACTAAGAAGAGTTTATAAATAAGTTAACAAAACAAAAATAAAATGTGTAATTATTCCATTAAGTCAAAATTTCAAGGTTGTAGAAGATATAGTTTAAAGACAAAACACATGGCAAAAAATTATTTAGGATTCTCATAAAGTTCAGTCAGATGAAACTAGTTTAGTTGGTATTATATTTATTTTTTAAAAGTTTCTTTCATAATATGAATAATAAATAAAAATATTTGATTTCCTTTTTGAAATTTTCTTTGTAATGTTTTTTGATTTTATTTTTATTTTTAAATATTAGTAATACATATAAATGTGTTACATAAAACTTATTTAGTGATAAATATGTTATATAAAATTTAGTAATATATTTTAATAAGATTTTTGTATTTAAAGTTTCAGCTAATAAAATTGCAAATAATTATCATATACTCATATAACCTGATTTATCAACTAATCTTCCTATCCCTAATAAATCAGTTGATTTTTGACATGCCCTTAATATTATATAAATTTAATAATATATATATACTATATATTTATTAATCTAAAATAAAACAAAGAATTATAAAGGTATTTTATAATAAAAAGAAAGGAAATTATTAAAAATTTGAATTTATTTTACTAAAAAATAATATTTAATTTATAAAGTAAAAAACAATTTTGATAATTTTTTCTTTTTTTACTACATAATATTTATATATATTTATGCAAAGTATCATATTCTAATATCTACTTATTTAAAAATTAAGTTAATATTAATTAGATTTTGCAATTATATAAAAGTATTAATAAAGCAAATACTAGTATAATTTTTTAATTAAAATCAATTTAGACTTAATATAATTTCCATTTTCTAGTTAAATTTTATTAGTTTAAAATAAAATAAAAAACTTATATTTTTAGGCAAAATGTTATGATTTTCATCTATTTAAAAATGAGTCAAATACTAAGATGAATTTAACAATAATTTTCTTTTTTTTAGTTTATTAAATTATTATAAAATAGATAAATGTTTATTTCAAATGCTATATAATTTTAGAAATATTTATTTTTTAAAATATAAAATATATTAAAATATTTATAATTAGAATAAAGTATTTTTTATTTAATAATATTATAATAATTATAATACGAAACCTCTATAATAGAAACTTAAAAAAATATTAATAAAATTTAATTCCCTGATTGGATTTTCATCAAATAAAAAAATTGATTTATATTTTGTAAAAATGAATTAATTTATAAAAAAAAGTTTTTTTCAATTTTGTAAATTATGTAAACATTGTATAATATATATATAAGCTAATCAGAAACTAGAATTAAAAATCATATAAAACAATTTATTTTATTTTATTTTATTATTTTATTGTAAATTGCATTAGATATATGATGATAAAACTTATTAGAAATAATTTATTATAATTCTACCTATATGTAATTATAATATTCTTATGTATTTCTTTTGCTGTATTCTAATACATCTTTATATAATTCAATTTATAACAATAATTAAGTAAAATATATGAACTATAAAAGAATTGTTCTTATAAATTCATCATCACATATTTTTTTTAATTTAGTTTTTATAATTAATTTTAGATAAATTTAACCTGATATAACTTTATCAATATTGAAGATATTAAAATTCTAATTTATTTTATGAATTAAATTTTTAATTTTATATATAATAAATTTTTTTTTACATTTTAAATTTGTTCCTATTATAAAGATTTTTCACTGTAGTATAATTTTTAATATTTAATATTTTAATTATTATCATAGTCAAATTATTTTTTAAATATTATTTTACTTTTTTATTATTTTTTTTTCTTAAATAAATTTCAATAAACTTATATATCATTTATTTTGAAAATATAAGAACAAAAATTTATTTTTTTTTTACTATTTTAATTGTAATAATTAACTTTTCTAATCATTTTTTATAAACTTAAAGTTTAGAATAATGCTAATAATAATAATATTTTATATAAATTATTTTTAATAATACTAATTAAATACATCCTAATTGATTATTAAACTACATGATATATTATAGTTTATCTTAATTTTTTTATTTTAATTAAAAGTTATAGATAGTTAAGTAGTTTATTTTACTATTTTCTTTTAATATAAAAAATAAATCATCTATATAAAATTAAAAAAAAAATATACAGTCAATTTTTGTTATAACGAACTTTATATCCTAGACCTCAATTTCGCTATAAGGCTATAGTGAAGATTTTAAGAGATTTGATTGGCCAATTTACTATAACAAGAGTATTTTATTATATTTGTTCAAAAAATTTGTTATATCAAAAGTTTGCTATATCAAGAGTTAACTGTATAAAATAATATATTATGTTATGATATATTTATCAATTTTAACATAATTCTAGTAATAGGTTGTAGCAATAAATAAGTCTATTATTAAAATTTTTTAACAATAATTTTAATTTTCATATTTTAATTTAGTTATATAGAAAACTAAAATAGATTAAAATCATATAATATATTTTTTATTATTCTAAGAGGAAATAAAAAAAATATATTTAAAAATAAATAATAAATTAATTAAAATTATAAACTAACAGTTATTTTTATCTTACCTTAAAATATAAACTTTTTCTATAATAATTCTAACTGGTAATAATTATATAAAATAATAAACTAAAAAAAAGAACAATTAATTATATTTATAGTATATAGATAAAAGTTACAATAGATAACATATTTTTTATTAAAAAGTCAGCATGTTTCAGAATAACTTTATTATTTAAAACTTTAACAAGCATATCTTTTTTAACTAATAATTGATTTTTTTTAATTTTTAAATTTCTTTTATAATTTAGTTAACACAAAAGTATAATTAAAAGTATTTAATATATTTTTATTTTGAGATAAATTAAAAGTTATAGCTAATATAATTACATAATTCTAATAAATATTACTTATTTTGAAATGTTAAATATTTGTTTAATAAAAAATTTTGATTTTTTTAAGTTAATAAAAAGATTTTATTATAAACTAACTTATGTTAATTTATAATATATGATAATTATATAAAATCAAGAAAATTAACAATTCAAATTTATGATAAAAAAAATTATATCATTTTTAATACACAATAGTTTAAAATTTTTTATTTTAAGAAGAAGTTACTATTAGTAAAAGAGAAACATATTTATTGATCAAATTTATTACAACTATATATTTTATATAAGATATGTTTTTATATAAAATAAATATTTCAAATATATTTAATTGAGTTAAAATCATTAATTTTTAATAAAAAAAATTTCTTTAATAAATTTCTAAGTTTACTAAAATTTTAGCAGAATTTGAGATTTTAGTATTATTTTAAATAGTAAATAAGTACTATAATTACTAGTAACTGTGAAAAAAAATCAAATGATAATTTAGTATTTTAAAAAGATGTAAATATAGTAGAATTAGTTGTTATCTAATTTTGTAAAGATTAGTAAAAATTAGCAAAATTGTAAATATCTTGTGATAATAAATAACTTATATATTTTAATATTAATCATTTGTAAAAATCAGAACTTTTAAATTATTCTTATCACAATTATTTATATTTAATAGTTAATAAAGAAACAATAATGAAATAGAATATTAAAAAGAAAGTTTAACAAAAATAAATATTTTAACTATTATCTAGACTATCTAACTAGTACTAATATTTGTTTTTCTCATAAATTTTTGTAAAATAACTTTTGATACTCTTTCTTAATAATAAGATTATTAGAAGGTATTTTTGAATATTAGAATTAGTTTTTTTAAAATCTGATTAATAAAAATTGATATTTAAAAAATAATTAGCCACATAATCTAAAATAAATGATCATATAAAATTAAGCTTTATATATAAAATTTTAAATTCTATAATTTTAAAATTTTTGATACTATATAAAATTAAAAAAAACCTATGTTTGTAAGGTTATTGTGGATAGCTTAATCTGTAAGCTCACTTTAATAAGTTGCATTTGAATTGTAAGCATTCTGTGAATTTATTTGCAAATTTTTAGAAAAATTAAGAATTTGATTTTGAGAGTTGTTATTTTATACTATAAGATGATTTATTATCATAGAAGTAAATTATATAAATCTAAGATTAAGATCTTTTTTGAACTTTAAATCCCTGATAACATAAAAAATAAACCAATAAAATTTATTAAAAAGAATTTTTGAAGAGATTTATCATATAAAATTATATGAAATTCTTTTAAAGATCTTGATAACATTTTCTAATCTTTTTTTCTTTTCTTTTCTCAACAAGTAATTTACCTTGCAAAAATGAAACATTAGCATATACTTGGAGTTTCACTTTTCATTTTACTAAGTAAAAACTTAGAATTTTTTTGTTAACAAAACTCCTATTTGTCACACACATTAGTATCACAGGTTAATTTTGATTAGAAACTTCAATGTGAAAGTTAATGTTGGAGTAGTAACCAAAATGATATAGAGACAATGAAGAAAATCAAAAGTTGAGCATCTTTACCAATACATTTTTCAAGCCTTCAGAATCACATTTACCTTGAAAAGTAACTTTATTTAATTTCCGAAGTAAGCGTAGGACACTTTCGGTTAGAGCTAAAACCACGCATGTGGTGTCTGCCCACACGTGATCTACCAAATCATGTGATAAACATAAAATCGATTTGTGATTGGCTATAATTTAAGTATGGTTGAACGCTTCGGACGCTCCTAGTGATAAAAAACGAAAGGGTAGCTTGTATTCACCTATTAGCTATAAGGTTAATATAAAATTTGGAATTAGATAAATAGGTAAACAATTTCGGAAAATTCGCCTAGTTCAACAAATGAAAATCAGAAAACAAGTGTAATTTGTTTGAAAAGGAAGAATGAAAATTATGAAATTAAAGGATTCACTTAAAGGCATACACCTCCAAAAGAACGATATACATATGGAAATGTGGTTTTCTAAGGACGAATAAAAAGTTCTTTTTAATCCAATCAAATTCATCCCTTGACGTTTTACAATATAGTATTTTAAGATACCGGCAGATGGCGGGTTTGTCTATATTTATTCACAAATTTAAAATGTATACAAAAAACTTTGATTGGATCTCTCGTTTTATTTGTGTGTAATAAACACGTGCTATACGAAATCATAGTTTTTCTTTATTCATTAATATAATAACTTTTTTTTTTAAAAAAATAAATTCTAATATTTATAATCTAAAACATATTCTAATACTAATTTACATTAAATTAATTAGTCCGGAGCGTTAGCGAAGGACTATATATGTTTTATGCGCTTTGATGTCCCGATGTCCGCCCGCTCAAATTTTGAGTCGATAGGTGGTTGGTCCCTTTCGTTAACTTGTACTCCGAACTTAACAATGGTTTCCGAAACCATTCCCTAATTACTTTTTATTTTTATTTTATTTTGTTTATTTATTTTTTTTAACCTAATGAAGATTCATTTGCTAAATTATTGAATGTTATAAACGTATCCTATAATTAAAAGGAAATTAAAATTAATTTATAGTTAATAAAAAAAAAAATTTAATTAATTAATTTGTCCTTACTTCTCTCGTACAATCTGGAACATTATGAGAATCTTCCATGAAAACCGTGGTATGTAATTGCTTTGAATGGAAAGCCGCCAATTTACCATAATCTCCTGGTGAAATTACCTATAATATAATATTTTAAATTACATGTTCATAACTTGAATAGATTTTTAAATTATATTATTGTACTTACTCTATAATCCGTTTTGCTAAAAATCCAATTTTCAATAAGAGCATTATTTGCACTATCAAGATTATCAAGATTGTCAAAGTTTGAATCAATAGGCAATCCAGAAACCACTACATGTTCTAATTCTTCTACTGCCTCTTCTCTTAATTTTACCGAATCTGTTACAACATAATAAATCACTTTTTGATGTGGCGCTGCATAAGTTTGTGTAAGTTGGTCCGCACAATCAAAATAATATTTGTAATCTTGTAAAGATGTTAAACCATTCTGAGATTTGATCTGTATTCCGACGGTAAATATACTTGAAAGCGCGAATAATGATGTATATTGTGTGATAAATGAATATGCACTTGGAACTGGACGAAATAAATAATCAAGAATACATCCAAATGCCGTGTGTGGTCTTAATCCCATATCTTTTAATATTGTTGAATAAAATTTTGAATCAAAAGATCTTATGACCATTCCACGATTGGAATAAAACTTTATAAAAGAACTTGGATATTTTGTTGTCCAATTGGAAAGCATAAACTTTTCATCTAAAGTTCTAGCATCAAAATCTATGATGTTAAGTTCGCTCGTTTCAAGTTCTCGAATATCAGAAGGTAGATTTAATGAATCATAACTCCAATCAATATTTGGTGAATTGAAAATATCTTCAAGTGGGAGCCGAGTTTGCCAATCCGCAAGAAATGCTCGGTTCGTAAGTAATGCAAATATAAATGCAGATGTCATTCCAAGAATGCTAATAAAAAAGGAAGAAAATATTCAGTACTTTTGTCATTTTATTTTACTTTATTTTATTTTTTATCCTTACCGGTTAGCCAACCCTCCGCATTTAATTTTGTCATCACAAATGTAGCTAACATATCGTTGAGATGCATTTCTTGACAAGATATTTTCATGTAACCTTGAATAATTGTCTTGCCATGAACCGCAAGACGAATCCAAGCTTTCGTCCGTATTAATTTCTAAAGATTTAGTTAAAAGAATATCCGCTCGTTCTTCTTCCGTAAGGGACTCAACAACGTCGTCATAGGTGAAATGAGCTTCATGTCTTATATATGCGTGATTAGAATAATCATCGTTTTCATTATTTTGATTCTCTGAATACCTATTTTTCTTATTTTGAAGTTTATTGGGGATAACAGTAATTTCGTCAATATGTTGTTCAATTTTGTCTTCACTTTCTGGAGTATCGCTATCATTATTTGAGGGAATTTTGTCGGAATTGTCTTCCATGTCTTTTACGACATTTTCCTCTTTTTCTTGTTCATAGACATTTTCATTAATTTTAACTGGTTCGGGTTGAAGTACTGGATTTTGATCAAAATTTTCTTGATCAGTTTCTAATTCGGGTTCTTTCACAAGATCTTGAGCAATAGCATTGGCAAGTCCATCATTTATATCATCATCATCGATAGTATCTCTGGTAAGATCGTCAGCCTTTTCTTTTTGCGTCTCAAAATTTTCTGAGAATTCATCAGTATTTTTATCAATAATTACTTGTACATGATCTGAATTGTCAGAGTCGATACTAACGATATCCCCTTCAAATGGAATTCCTATACCGGTTAAAGCACCAAAGAACACAACAAGTGCGCCACTAAAAATGAGCAAAAAAAACACTTTTTTTACATCAACGATAGTCGATTGAGGTGAATTACCATCAACTTTTTTTTTAAGAGTAAAAGGATTATAAGGTTTATGTTTTGATGGAGTTGAAGGTGGAGTTAAGGGTGAAATCTTGTCTTTTAATATATTATTTAAATGAGATTTTTTTCCCGACGTTAATGTATCAATCGGTGTAAGATATGTTGTATTATCAACCCTTGTGTTATTTGGCGAGGCAATGAGATTTTCTGAAGAACTATTATTACCGAATGTCAAACTCATGTTACGTCGATGGGCTTTTTGCCCGGTTGTTGATTGATTTTGCGGTGACATTTTTTTTTTTTAATTGATTTGTTTTAAAAAAGTGAAGTGTGTTTTTTTTTTTTTTTTTTTTTTTTCTAGAAAAGAGAAGAAAAAAAAGTAAGAGGGGAAGGAATCATTCCGTTCAATTAATAAGAAAATTGAAAAATAAACGGTTCCTTGTTACGAACCTCGTATATATAAACAAAAGAACAGTTAATTTTCGAAAAAAGAAAATTCGTTGAATTTGATTTTATTTGTTTATTCAATTTTCTATTTATTTATTTATTTAATCTCTTTTGTTTTACATTAGAATATTCATATGCATTATCTACTTTATGCAGCAAAGAAATTAATTAAAAAAATTTACTTATCAGGCACCTTTAACTCCGACGTGCAACATGTCACAAAAATATGAAAGTATTATTTTTAATTTATTTTAAATTATTTATTTAAATTGATTTGCGCGATAGGAGTATCACGTGATTGTAGGATTTCGAACTTCTTTCTAATTACAAGCAAGAAGACTTTAAGAAAGTAAAGATTTCACGCCCTCGTTAAGGTATAAGTGATCATGAGTATCTTTATACTTGCATATCGTTATCTTTTGATCTATTTAGTTGTTTTTTTTTTATTTATTTATTTATTATTATTATTAATTTTTTTTTTTTTGTTTAAACTCCCGGTTAAAAGGTATTTTGTTTTATATTTTTCCCGATTCATAGCAAATCTTACAATGCTAAAAGAGACTTTGGAATCTTGATCTTTTATAAGTGAACTTTCGGAGAAATCGGAATTCCTCACCGACACTACCGATCGATCAGCGAATTGCGTGTTCCCTCGGATGACACCGTTCATGATTTGATAAAGTTATGCGGGGCTACCAAATGCACTGTATATTGGTTATTATTCTCATTTTTCAATAAGAATAGCTGCAAGATAATTATTAGTTTACCAAATCATTTATTCTATTCGTGCCCGAAATAAAAAATTTGCTCTCGCATGATCTTTTTTTTAAAAAAAAAATACCTTTGTAAACTTCATGCACATGGTTAATCATGATTTTTTTTATGCGGTTCACAAGTTTTCTCCATCCAATAAGGTTTAAACGCAAAGAATTAAAAGGTTTTTTTTTGTTGTGAAATTAAGAATTACGTTATACACGAATTGACTTTTATCATTTTGCTTTAATTACAAGGACATTACTGGTACATAATGAAGTCCCCGAACTCTTAAGAATCGTTGAATAAACATTGTCAATCTTACCGGGAAATAATATTTGTAATTATTACACCAAAATACATATGACTTAACGCTAATAGCCACAATTTACTGTTCCTCCAAAGAGGTTATAAAATAATTGTTATAATTAGATTTGTTTTGCATCAGGTAGGCCCTCGATTGGTATTTGCTAATGTGTATTTAATTAAAAGAATTTTGTTTTTGGCCTATTATTTATTTTAAGTTGAAAAAAATAATAAACAACGGAAAAAAAATTTATTTCCTTTTTCTGTTCGTTCCATGCTTTGCATTGCGTCATAATGTCCTGCTTTTTGTTTGATTTTTGAATAAATACCGTTGCAATCCCATATACAATTAAATTCTTCAAAACTTGAACTTTTGGCTAGACCGATTGCCATATCGGTTAACAGAGCTAATAAGCATTTCCCTATTACTTTCCTTCTTTTTCCTCCCCTCCTACCTTCTAAATCACTAGCACTCGTCTCACTTTTATTTTTACAATTTTGTGCCGTATCACATTCTCTTTCTTATTATAATCATAAAGATTTTTTTTTTTTTATTAAGATCACCATGAGACACTTTCAAATCCAATTTCCAATCCTTTCCGTATTTTTCGCGCTAGTTACTATTTTATCACAAAATGAAGTCGATTCTGCTGTCATCAAGAGTAATTTAATGAATTTTTAAATCCCCATCACCTATCGGTTAGTCATTTTACTAATAAAATATTTTTCCCTTCATTATCAGAAAGGGCCTTGCCTCCAATAAATAAGAATCCGGGTTCTTTCAAAGTAGTTGGAGAGTAAGTAAGTAATCATCAAACTTGATGCTAATCAAACAAAAATTAAATCACTTTCTATTCGTATATATATATAGTTCAGGAATAGCGGCTATGCACATCGTCTTAACTGCGCCAACAAAAATCCTAATCATCGACAAAGGTAAGCATATAAAATGTAAATGAATAAAAATGTAAGAGATTTTTTTGTTAAATAAATTTTATTGCTCTTAGTTGAAAATAATCCGATCAAGCAAAGGGATGGTCGTGTGGCCGTTTCTGTTGAATATGATCTCGAGACAAATAAGAAACGTGTGCTCAATCTCAACACAAACACTTTCTGTTCTGCCGGATCTTTCCTTGGTAACGGTACCTTAGTTCACACTGGTGGCGCGGAAATTAAGGTGAGCAATGAATGTGGTTTTTATGATACTATGATACATTATGTACACGTGATAAACCTTTTTTTTTGAATTTAAAAAAATCAAGCCCACAGAAAAATTTCAAGAAGGTTTTGAAAGTCTCCGCTTATTTGAGCCATGTAGCAACGGTAAATGCGATTGGTTCGAAGATCCGAAGGGTTTAACTTCCAAAAGATGGTACCCATCCATGGTCACGTATGTAAAATAAATTATTTTAACATTCAATTTGTTTCTTATGTAAGTGACCTTTCCCTTTCTTATTTTTTTTTTTTTTTTTTGTTTAGACTATCTGACGGAAGAGTATTCATCCTCGGTGGTGCAATAAAAGCTGTTGCTGCTAACAACGAAGAAGCTAACAACCCCACTTTTGAATTCTTTCCAAAAGAAAAATCCAAGCCCGAACCGTTTCCATTCCTTTTAGAGACGTAAGTGGCACACGTGATCTGCGTCCATTTTTATCATTTTAATAAAAACGTTGCTAACGCTAACTTTACAACTTCTCAACTAGTATGCCATTCAATTTATATCCCATAATTCATGTCTTGCCAGGTCCAGCAAATCAAAAACGTCTTTTCGTTTTCGCAAATACCGATAGTATCATTTGGGATTGGGGAACAAAGTCAATTGTAAAGCGACTTGATAGGCTTCCTGGCCCTCCAAGGTCGTACCCACTTACCGGTACTTCGGTCATCCTGCCATTAAGTCCAGAAGACGATTATGCACCAAGAATACTCGTTTGCGGTGGTGTCGCAAAAAGAGACGTAAAACAACCAGCCGATAATAGTTGTGGTAGAATCAACCTTGCTAATATCAATAATGCTAAATGGGAAAGAGAAGATTTTGGAGGTATTGGAAGAAATATGCCAGATGCTGTTATTTTAGCAGATGGAAAGACTTTATTCTTGAACGGTGCTGGAATAGGTGTGGCTGGTTACAGTAAGTAGTAGAAATTTTTTTACCGTTATGTTCATTCATTCTTCTCATATGCTTGAAATAATATATATATATTTTTTTTTAACCATCAATAGATAACAATAATAAACAAGCTGCCGATAACCCAGTTCTTACCCCGGTTCTTTATGATCATCGTGCTCCCAAAGGAAAAAGATTTACCAGACTTACGTCCTCTAAAATTCCCAGATTATATCATTCGGTCGCTACTTTGGTAACTGATGGCAGAGTTTTTGTTACCGGAAGCAATCCAAACTCAGTTGTCCGAACCAAGGATACTAAATACGTTACCGAGTAAGTTTATAAATTTTTTCCCCGCGCGTTTTTATGTCAAATAATTTTACGGATAAAAAATAAATATTTATATATAATTTTTTATTTTTTACTTAAAGTTTCCGCGTTGAAATGTTCACGCCACCATATTTACAAAAGGGTATCGAACGTGCCATTATCACATCAGTAGCCGGTAAAACCATATTAAACAAGGGGGCGATTCGAGTTAAATACAATAATGTAGTTCCGGTAACCGTAAAAATTAATGATCCGAAAGCGGTATTCTCAGCAGCTCTCGTTCATCACGGATTTGTTACTCATTCGATTCACATGTCACAAAGATATGTTGTTTGCACCGTTCAAGATGTTGTTAAAAAACTCAATGGGGTTGTCACTATGAACGTCGTAATGCCACCAAATGGTAATATGATTGCTCCCGGTCGTAATTACCTTTATATTAACAATAAAGGTGTACCCGGAATAGCTGCTATTGAGGTTATGATTTCTAACTAGATTCTATAGAAATTTAATTACTATTAATTTTTGTATTCAAATATATATACTGTATATATATATATTTATTTACTTCTTATATATCGATATAGAAATATTATTGCATTTAATTTAATAAATTTTGGCCGTCGAAATTACTGTTAAAAAAAACTTTTATGCTTTGTCGGTTTTCCGCATTATCTTGGTCATATGGTTCAAAGTAAATAAACGAATCGGAAATTAATTCTTCGCAGATAATACAATAAAAAAAAAAAAAAAATTTATGAAAATTTCAGATAACTTAAATATAGGAATTTTCTTCTTTTAAGTTTTTTCTCATCGCTACGATTGTTAGGGCATTGAAACAAAAATTGAATGCCGTATAAAATTTTAATTTGATTGGTTCTTTATTATCTTTTTTTTTTTTTCTGTATCCGTAAAAGTTTTCATTTTAAAATATTAACTGACATCTGGAATAGTGGCTCACTAGAAATATTATTCACCCACGAGGGTGAATTATTTGATAGTTGGGGAATACTATTAAAAGTGAGCTACCGATAAACCACTTCTTGGACTTTTAGTTCGATATACTGTTCCAAGCTTAATTCACTTTATCAAAAGAAAAGGTTAGCCCAGAATTCTTTTCCAGAATTCTTTTACAGCTAGACAAAAATTTATTATGAATCGGGGGAAAAAAGTTCTCAACAAGAAGAGTTTACTAGAACGAACTTTGATCATATTTATTTCTTCATTCGCTAATCATAAATCACACGAATTCTCAAAATGATGTAAAGGTATTAATATGAGTCAATTAAACAAACGATTGTAAAAAAAAAAAAAATTTGAAGCGATCACATCAAGTTAAATTTTTCTTGATTCGGAGAATATAGCCGTGGATGATTAACCATATTAATGAACGTATGTACTTTTAATTTCTGTAACGAAACTTTATTTTACTTAGTATAAAATATTTTCCGTAGTTAGGACATGATTCGTTTATCAAATGTAACTTGTTGATGATGCAAAGATTGCATAAACAGCGTCGTACAATGGAATGTTCTAAAGTAGCACGCTGATTTTTCATTGAAAAAAAAATTTTTTCACCTCCTGTCTTGATTTTTGTTAATATCAATAATAGATGATTCATTATAGTTATTCCTCTGCACCAACATTCGAGGATTTATCACAAGAAGAACAATTATGTATAGCAGAATCTCTTGTGCCAGGAGAAACCTATGATGTTATAATTAATCCACCAATTTATTCAGAAAATCCACATCATTCGGGTGGTGGAACAAGTTTCATTATACAGCGAGGTGGTTCTATCACAGTCGAAGTAACTGAACCTGAGGTTGAATCATTGCCTACTTACGATGATGTTTCAACTGATCCACCCCCTAATTTTAACACTAATGATCATGATGACGATGACGACGACGACGAAGACGACGACGATGAAAATATTTCCGCTACATTGACAATTAATAATCCTTCGATTAATTATGATGGAAATCCTCCCGATTATAACACTTCATATTATCCTCCAAGTTATGGTTCTAATCCTCCTGATTACATAGATGCGGCCATTCAGTCAAATTATGATTTAAATCCACCTCCCAATTACGAATCAAATATTTAAAATTAATTCCATGATTAATTAATTATAATTTTTAAAGAGGTGAGTTTTTTATTTTACGAAAAGTGAGAGAGATATATTCATGAATATTTATTTAAAATTACTAATGACCAATAAGTAATTCTAATTAGTTTTTCAAGTTAATGATTTATTTTTATGGGAATGTACGAAGGTTATTTTATATTAAGTATTTTTACAGATTGAAAAATATAATTTTAGTTAGGAATTATTTAGCGAAATTTCATTCACAGGTATTTAATCTTTAGAAATCTTTTTTATTAGTATCATAATTGGAAGGTTGTAGAAATGTTTAATTTCTTGGAAAAAATTTTATTTATTTCCAAATAGAAAAACTTCAATTGAAATAAAACAAAAAAAAAAAAAAAAAAAAAGAGTTTAATATATAAGTTACCATTCATTATAATTTGAATTATAAATTATTGCGACGTTTTTTTTTATCACCCATTATTATTTCTTATCATCTTTGATCTATTAAGTCACAACTCGGTTTTATTTTTTATTCCTTTTAATAGAAATGGCTGCATATGGAAACAATTTTACCGATTTGTATAATTAGCCTCATAATGTCAATAGATTCATATCTTGCCAAATGATGGATTAAAATAAATTTCCAAATTTCGACTCGAATTGATACGACAAAACGACAATATTCTCCTCCCACTTGAATTCTTCACGTTGTAATGGTGTTTCATCTGCTTATATCTCATGGTTCATCTACGCATTGATTCAAATTTTCCTTCTCTGGTTATAAACAAAATATATATAAATCGTAACGTTCGAGTAACATTATCATTAATTAATATTTCAAAATATCAAGTGAATCTGACGAATCAGGAGACGAATCAGCAATATGACGGAGAACTATGTTCAAAATTATATACCGATTAATTTTATAAAAAAAAAGAAAATTGCAAATGATTATGAATGTAACGGGACGAATTAAATTGTTAATTTTAAATATCCCAAATGCAGGTAATTTTATGTTTAATTTTATTTATTTACTTTTTTTTTTTTCTGATTTCCTTGTGTTTAAAATGGAATGAGAGGTTAAAAATTCATAATTTCGTTATTGAAAGCGTAAAATTTTTTTTTTTTCATCGCATTTCATTCAATCCATTCTTTTACATTAGACAACAAAAATCTTGCTCAAAGTATTGTTTATTTAATCTTTAGTTCATTTAAGATTTCATCGATCGATTCATAAAATTGAAAATATTTTAGATTGAAATTTATCAAATTGTAAACACTTTATAACATTTTTTTTAATCACCTAGATAAAATATTAATTTATTTACGCATCACGTTTAACAAAAAAATAGATAGATATATACATTAAAAACTATACAAAGAACACTGTATAATTTCATTTTTAAAAAAATAACGAATATTATGTACAGGGAAATAACCAGTTTCAAAATTATTTTCTTATGTACAAATTAAAAACTACACCAAAAATTAATGAGATGTTTGGGCCTATCCTTCTTTTCAATTTTTTTAATATTTCTTCGTATTGTATTCTTTCTTACTATAGTAGTCTGTGTAGTATTCATCTTCGTAT